CACTTGCCTCATTGGCTGCCTCCATAGTGAGCAAGCAAGACGTACAGCTAGTACGTAGATATATGTAACATATTGTAACATGTAGATGTCCAAGGAAACTCACCAAGCCAGTTGAGCCACATAATCCGTTGCGTCCACCAACCCGGCTCACTTTTGAATGTGGCTGCAACACTGCCGCAAGTTCAGTTGGCAGCTGAAATCTTTGTTTACGCTGCCTCTTTATGCATTTATGTACGGTTGTATTTTAGGGTTCCTTCGAAATTGAATGAGTGAAATGTGGCCTTCAAGGCAGAAGTAAGATGAGAGACCGAGATCTGATTGGTAAAGACAATCTGAGTAGGCATGCACTTTGTATATGGGGCTGTTTTGCACAGGCTATCTACTGCGTTTAACTCTGAAAGAGACGCTGTGTGAAGCTACAGCTATTGTTCATGGCGGATGCTTATTTCCAAAATGCAAACTGTGCGGGCGTGCAATCCCATTGTAATATCACCTTCGCTTGTCATTTCTATTTTGTCCAGAGCAGCCTGCCAAAGACTTTGCAGTCGCTGAAGAAGCAGTAGCGTCTTGCTTGCATAGTTGATCATAGTTGTGGTGTGTGCTGCAAGTGCGCGTCTCGCTGGTAGCCCCTCTGCACTCACTTTTTTTTAAACTTGACCTAGCGCCTGCCAATATCCAACGTTGGTAGAACTGCCTACAGAAGTGCGTTTGGAAACCTTCACGCAAGCTTTGCATTACACAGGAAGTGGCGCCGAAGAAGATGCTGACCTGTCATGAGTTTACACGCAGCGGGCATGGTTTGAAGCACATTGAGCAGTATCTTCTGGAGCTGCCGCAGATGTGTGAGAAGACGCTTGGCGACAGCAGTGTCCATTGTCTCAGACCATGCTGGCACTGATCTGTGGTTCTTTCGTTTTTCTATTTTGCTTCCTCATGATTCCTCAAATTAGTTGACACACATTGTTTTGGAGCATGGCGCAAAAGCCAAACTTCGTGCTTAGTATCAAAAGTTGTTTTGTGATGTTTTCTGCAGTATTCTGCAGTGAGCAGGGATGCCCAATTGTGTTGTCCCACCCATTCCACAATTTGCACAACGGTTCATGGCTTTGCCCCCATTGCTTTGCTAGGAAAGACATTCGCATCCTTCGAGATGGAAACCAGCGAATACGCGATCTCCCAATCCCTTGGGCTCAGATCGCAGCAAGGGCACCTTCGTTTTTTCTTGTGGACTTGGAAGGTCAGTCTACTACTGCCTTTGGCAAGAAAGTTGTTCGGACGCTTGCGTCACTATCTCCCAGCAAAGGGGAAGATAGACTAGGGGTATTGCGCAAACTGGCGAAGTTCGCTGCAATGGTGCATAAAGTAGCGCCGCCAGTTTTGCTTTTGTGAAAGCGACCTTGCCGAGATGAAACAGCTGACAAATCGAGAACATTGAGAAAACACTTTGCCCTTGGAAGAACATGCTCATTCCAAACTCATTCAGACAATGTCATTAAGTACATGTCATTACACATTTGCGAGTTTTCTTTGTGGCAGGGTGTAGCAGGGGGTATGCAAGGGGGTGCCGGAGACAGGCAGGGAAATGCTTGAAAACCAAGCACCAGGCCGCTCAGCACAAGGACTTGCCAGAAAAAAATGAGGCATACCTGCACAAGCCGATGAACCCATCAATCCTTCATGATCCTTCTATCAAAATATATCAAAATTAGAGGTGCTGACTTTTGCTCAGATCTAGGACTTCACCCAGGTTCAACATCTTGCAACATGGGCCCATGCTTTTGAAGATGTGGTTCTTTTCAGAAAAACGAGAACAACACCAACAGCTGTCCATCAGAACAATGCTCGCCTGACGGACCGCTGCTGAGGCCGCCACTGAGCCGTACTTTACTAGTCAGCCTGGCCGAAGCTTTGCACAGAGGAGGTTCACCACAATTCAGCAGCAAACTCTTTGTCAGCCCAGAAACTTGGAGCCAGGCCACTAGCTGAATGCATATGATGACATATCTGCACACAACGCACAATACACACACAATCACACACACATGACATAATTATCTATGACCCCAATATACCCCAATAAGAAGTGCAGGTAAGTCAATCGCCCAGTGACGATGTTCAACGCCGGGCCGAAGCAAAAAGGAAGCAAGCGAGTGGCGTCAAGATGTGTTGAGATGTTTCAAAATGTGTCAAGATGTGCCAAGGAGGTTCTCATATGTACGGTGGCCTTGCCACATGACCAGTCCATTGTCATTCATGTGATCTAATGAAATCAAGCGATTCCATGCAATCCCTTTGGGAAGTCTCTCGCGTTTTTTGGGGGTCTGTGAGTATGTGTGTATATATATATATTGAATTATATTGACTTATCTGTCTATTTGTATTCTTTTTTCATATATATATATATAGATATATATATATAGATATATTTTCAAAGAAAAAAATGTAACTCGAAAGGTTGGTTCAACCCCCCCTCGTCCCCCCCCTCTAAGGGGGTAGGGATAATATCACCCTGAACAGTCCTTTACACATACATAAAAAATAGTTAGGGTGAACATAAGGTGCATCCCTTAATCTTATATTCTCTTGATTTTGAAAAGTATGAACAAACCTGTTGCAAACATTTTTTAAATGTAGAATATGTTGACAGTGCCTTGAAGTAAAACATATCTCTCCCTCTTCCAAAGCATGTCTTCTTTGATAGATCAGCGTAAACTAGGTGTTTTGTGAAAATAGCTGGGTATTCTAAGTGATTGAGCTGGGTATATCTCGGAAGGAAAACTAAATTAGCCCATTTCCAATATCATGTTGATAATTGATTGCACCAACAACGGAGGAGTTAAATTTGTGTTACAAAAACCCCTGGAAAAAAGCGCATGCCAATCCCACACTCTTCATTTCGAAATAACTAAGCTTGGAATTAGAAGGACCCCTAAAATAAACTCAAAGAATCCAACCTGGAAAGTGAGGGCAGGTTGGGGTCAAGCCTTACAATCAATGACATCCCAATCACAAAGCACCATGGCAATGCATCAGCGTCTCATTCTTCTCCAATATTGAGACTCACATCCTTTCATTTACTATTCATGTCATGCTAAAGCATGCTTGTACCCAACCCAACCATATAAATATATAATCGAATGTGTATATATATATTTTTACAATACTAGTCTAGATTTACATGAAATACATTGACGTATATTGGTTTCAACCTGATCCATAGCATAAACATTCCAAGAACTTGGCACCAAAAGAAAAAACAAATCGATTTCTATTGGTATATAACACATATAACAAGGCTTTTGCCATTTCCTTGTGCAGATTTCCCTAGCAAACTAGGAATGCAAATCAAAAAGGGAGCTTGGAATCTCCAATACAATCAGTGCAATCTGGCAGCCCACAGAGACATTGCACACAATCAGTGTGCTCAAAATCAAGCATGCCCATGATAGAGAATAGAGAATACCCTTGCCAAATGTTGAGGTATGCAGTTGTCCTTCTTAGTTTGTAGGCTGGCAAAATGGTTGCTAGATAATATGGAAATAATTTTGAAAGATACTGTCCATAGCAACACCTATGGGAGTAACCTTTGGCTAATGCAATTAAGATATTAATGTTGCTAATGATATATACAGTTATGGCAAGGAGCAGACCTACAATACTAAGTCAGATGAGGCTAGGGCAAAAAATCAAAGTGCATGCTAATATTGCATCATTATTGGAAAAAGGTGGGATTTGACGCATTTTTGTGCACAATTTGGCTTGGCTAACTAATATGATAAAGGTGGTGACAACTATCCTTGGAACCAATCATCAAAGGAAATGATTATTGCAACTTGCCATAAATTGCCACAAAAATGATACATAGAAAAGGAAACTTGGTAGCATTATTTCCATGTATCTTTAATTATATTAATTATCAATGTTCAGAGTTGACTAAATTGTCTGCATTTCGAATGAGGGTACATTGGTCATACCCATACTGAATAAATATATGATATATATTGCAGCTATTTAAAACTATTTTCAAGATTACTTGCACAAAAAATCTTGTATTGGTATGCTGACTATAGCCATTTTGACATACAAAGATGACGTTATCTTCACATCAGTCTTGATCATATATTTTCTTGCTGTGTATCATGCAATGGCCTATCCAGTGGCATAACTATTATATCTATGGAACATTCTTGGCAACATATACTTTCATATACTTTCATCAAAGCCTTTGAACATTAAAAATAACATGTACCAAACAAACCGAAGAATTTGAAAGGGTCGGACAGCTGCCGGATTCACACTACGGAGCTGACAGGCAGACTCGACGGACTAGAACGGATCCAAAAGCTGGTTTCCTAGGGTCTGAGGGGGGGGTCACCAATTCTTTTAAATTTAGTTTTTTTCCCCCCCTCAGACAGGTCTAGAAGGTAACAACCAGAGCTTTAGGGTTTCCAGAGGTCTCGAGGAGCAGGAAGAGAGAAAGGAAACAAACATCTATACAGAAAGCTTAGTAGCAATATATAAATCCAAACTTTGACCCATATCTATCCATTCCTCTTTTGGCATTAAGCTGATATGGCTCAAAATTAAGATTTATTGGAAAATGTAATTAAAATAGATTTTGATATTCTAAGTTTGTATATTAGCATTTATTAGCACAAGAGAATATAGAATGAAACACAACCTGTTTTTTTTGTTGATCTTCATGACCTAAGCCAAGCAGTTAAAGATATTACAAAGACAATTAAAACAATGAGCATTTGATATAGTAACCACAGATGTTTTGTAGCGTTTTTTTCCAAACACCGTAAAAATGGGGCCTCCACAACGTCCCTTTCTGTATATGAAATATGTATTATTAATATAAGGTGTATGTGTGGGGGGCTGGGCAAATCCATTGTAGATCGTCCATGGTAGTCCAAAATTCGTGTCTTTCCCTCCTCCCGGGTACAGAGTATTCGACCTCCGAAAAAAGGATTCGTTTAGAGAAAGTTGTGACTCAGGTGGATGTCCGTGGCTGTGAAGAGCAGGCAGTGTCGATGATACCCGGTGCGGTCACCAAGGAGTTTTTTGAAGCTGAAGTGCTGCCGCAGTTGAGGGCACAGACGTCCCAAGCTGCTCCGCTTGTGGTGCCCTACTGTACTGTTGCTGGGTTTTGAGATCTATTTTTTGGAAGATTCATGATTCTCGATTTGATACATTGTGCATTCTTCTTGCACTCCATTTTCGGGGTTGAACAGGGTGCAAAACACAACAGCAACCAGGTTGGCTACCGATCTGGCATCTACGCGAAAGAACTCGTAGAGCAACACGGACTTCAGAATGTTCGCAATGGTGAGGGCGTGATCATGTGGACCTTTGATGGGAACGGATTAGTACAGCCACCTGCTGGTCCTTCTGGTTCTGCTGGGCCTGTGACTCGGTCAGAGGCGCTTGGACGCAGTGTTACCGACGATTCAGTGGCTGAGCAGGCTGCCCTGCAAAATGAAACGCGCCGTGTCCATGTCTTTGGTAAGCCCTGGGACATGGCAGCAGAAGGATATACCACAGAGTATTTCACTCCAGCAGGAGGTGCTTTTCGCTTTGTGAAGCAGAAATGTAGCAAGAGTGGCCCAAAAGCGTTCCCATGGTTCACTGAATTTTTGCTGTTTTACCTATTCTTCACTCCAGCATGTGGAGTCATGTACAATTGTGGCTGCCGCGTGGCTCTGTCGAAATTTGGACAAGTGTCAAGCTGCAACATCTACTGGCCGGACCAACCTTTGGAGCACAAGTGCCCCTGGTGCACATGTCAAGGCGTTGTTTGTATCTTTGTAGCTAGCGACACCAAGGCATTTCGCGGGGTGACTTTGCTGGATATGCTTCCGGATGGCTTCGTTGTGACTGTCTTAACAGTTTTAGTGTTGCACTTTCTCTTCAAAAAAATTGATCAATGCCTACGACCTAGGAACTTCGGAGATTCGTTCATCGCAGCGGTGAAAACAGCAATAGCTGTTTCATGGTTCGTTGTGTATTGCCTGGCTTTCGGCGCTTTGTTTTTTGCTGGCAATACATCATACCCTCACTTCTTGGGATATTCAAGAGTGTAGGCACGAGCTGTCTGACAAAGTCAAAGCTCAATTAGGAAAGGTTCCTTCGACACCAACGCGTTTGGCAACAAACAGCGCGTCTAAGGATCAACATGGACTGTTGCAGATCGAAAACTTGGTGACCTACATGAGAATTGTTTTCCTGTGGCCTTTCCATGTCATTTCTATTTGATCCTTGATGTAACATATCTGTAACGTATATAATCACATTAATCACAGTGCCCCAGATACGGCATGGCGCTGAGGTAAAGATCTCTACGGACGAAGGTTCACGACCGCCACAACTGAAGGTCTGGGCACTGGGTGGTGGGACCTGGGACATGGGGACGATGGACATCTCAACTGTGTGCTGCAGAAAGGTGTGGATGAGAAACGAGAAAAACGGTCACATATTCCATAGCAAACTAGTATCAGTAGTAAGGATTACAAGTATATTTTTGACATATTATGACAGCAACAACAATAATGATAAGACATGAGTTCAAACACGTGCTTGACTTGCGCTGCAGCCAACATGACACTACATCAAACCGACATCAAACCCTTTCCAGTCGTTGTTCAACCTCTTCCGGCACCCACATTTCATGCTCTTCACAGGCCGAATTCAAGAACCACCGCGATGGCGTCACATGCAATGGGACCCAGCTGTATATGGAGCAGTTTTGGTGATAACTTGAGCACGTCTAGTGACTAGTGACTTATTACTAGAGTTATCACCAGATTTTGCAATAGCTATCAGCTCTTTGCAAGCTCTTTGCACCTTGCAAAGATTTCTGCATACACTCCGCTGCTGGTTCAAGGTTTGGGTAGTTACGGTAGTTCTAGGGTTTAGCAACCGGGCCGGCGGGATATTGTGGGTGTATCTATGGCAAAGCATCATCCAGACCTCATCATGTGCCGCAAGCAGTGCGGTATCGCCATTGGACGCCTGTGTGAGAAGTGCGATGGCAAGTGTGTGATTTGTGATTCCTATGTGAGACCCAGTCAGTTGGCCAGAGTTTGTGATGAGTGCAACTATGGGAGCTACCAGGGCAGGTGTGTCATTTGTGGAGGTGCTGGGATTTCAGATGCTTTCTACTGCAAAGAGTGTTGCCAATGCGAGAAGGATCGCGATGGATGTCCAAAGATTGTGAATCTCGGCACTGCTCGAACTGATTTGTTCTACGAGAGAAAGAAGTATGGCTTTAAGTCGCGCTGACGTGAAGAACTGCGTAGCTGTTGTGTGCAGCACAGTCCCGCGGTAGAATTTCTGTGCAGTCGCACATGGATCCGGACGCTGGAAAAGGATGGAAATCAGCTGGCCGTGAAAGCCCAGTGGCAGTTCCAAAAGGGTAACCACTGACATCCACTGACCACATTTTTGCGCAGCACGTTGCGAGGTCTGCGCGGTTCTCCGGAGCTTCTACTTCTGGCGAGTGGAAGTACCGACATGCAGGCGCTCTTCGAGACTTCGAGCCCAACGGAAGCGGATTTTTTTTTCATGCTTTTTTCTTCGAATGTGATCTAAATGTCCAAGTTCTCAGCAATTTCTTGGACTTGGAGATTTAGACACTTAGCATGTGGAAGCAAATTCGATGTTTTCTGTTGATGGAGACAGGTGGTCCTATATGATTTGAAGACCATGAAGTTCGAGACCGCTTGGAGCCACAGGATGTCCTTGGAAGGTTGGAAGGAGGTTACCAGGTTGGAAGGGAAAGGGATACAAAGGGATACAGCGAAGATGTGTAGCCACGGTGAAGCACCTCGCTACTGAGGCGCTCTCACGCTTTCAACACGTTATTGCTGCGGGCTCAGCCAACGATCTGTCAATATGTCAGCAGCTGTTCCGCATGATGTCAGCATGCCAATCGCTGCCTTTGTCTTTTGGACAGCACTTAAAATCATCAACAACAGCACTTCATTTCCCCAAAAAACGTCAAGGTTTTTCTGAAAGCAGCAGGTTCCCCAATTTTTTGGGGCAAAAAACCGTTGGTTTTTGCGAAGAACTCCGAGATTTTCATAGATTTTCCGCATGCTCGCCGTGACCATGACATGCCATGAGTCAGGCTGCGGTGGACTTTTTGCCGAAGAGGTGTTTGCTGGTCGTGGCAGACCAGGTGCTGATCGGCGACTGGCGGGATACGGATGGTTTTTGTTTGAGAGTGAAAACACTCCTGGGGACTGTGGCACAGACATGATTTCAGATTGAAAAAAAATCGACATTTTGACATAAAATGACCCTACGAAGTCCATCTAACTCCAGCAGTTGTTTCTATTTTTGACATCCCTTGGTTTTATGTTTGTTTTGATGGCAGTGGTGATGCAGCCCGTTGGCAGTCTTATTGTGGGCTGGCAGGGCGGGCATATCTCGTTTTGGAGAATGCGGCCGCATCCGGACCAGTGGACGTGCATTTTTCACTTCAGGTCAGGCATGGGTTGAAGCCTATTACAGCCTATTGAAACGTATGAGTTCGTCTCAAAATGGAATATACAGTACACCCCAAACTGGCATTTTGCAAAGGGAAAAGGATGATCAACAATTGGATCTTGGTGTTCCTAATTTTGAGACATACATTGAAGCATATTGAAACATGTTGAAGCGAGGTATCATGGTGTTGACCTTGACAAACAATGTGGGCACCACTGTATCGTTGTTGTACTGGGTAGCAAAAGTAGTAGATTTCGAAGAAAGTGATGGTGTCCTTGTGATCTTTCGAAGGAATTTGCCCATCATCAATGGCGTCTTGCCAAGTGTCACAGAGGCGAGCCATGCTTGCTTTTGCTTGGCGTGTCGATGTGCAATCATATGGCGTATGGGTTTCAAACTCCCCAAAAAGGGCTAGCATGTCATAAAATGACAATGACCAGGTTCTATGTGGGAACATGGAATAAGCCAAAGTACTATGCCTGACAAATGGGAAGCCAAAGTACCATGACTGACTATGATAAAACATGATAAAACATGATAAAACCATATAAAACCATATAAAACATGATAAAACCATATAAATAGCCATATTTTCCCAAACTTTCTTATCCCCTATGACTGGCTACGTACCCAGCCGGGTACCGAGTATCGCCTGTCGTAGGTGCCTCCTCCCACCTTGGCGGTGCCTGTACGGGGACCTGGGGGAGCGGAGCACGATCACATGGTGAACATTTCAATTTCATATCTATATACATAAACATACACATATAATATAATACATATATATTTATATATCATGTTAATCTTCAATGGCTGCGCAATCTTGCGAAGGTGGCCTTGTGTGAAACTGTTTCCCTGATTTGGGCAGAACGATATATTTGCCTGTTTTTAAAGCCAATGCAATAAACCTTCAAATTGGGATGGTTGAAATCCCATTTGCCATTGGGTTTACCCTCTGGTAATTTAACATAGCTATTGAACATGGCCCATTTAGTTCGTTGATTTACACATTATTTTGATGGTGAATTTCCAGTTCGCAAACTCTTATTTTACCAGAAGCTATAACTTTCACCATTTTTTATAGGTGGTATCTTTACCATTCCCAGTCATGGGTGGTTTACGATTGTTTTACCTACATTAATCATCATTAGTTATCCATTAATCACCATTATTAACCATTATTAACCAATATTAACCAACATTAACCCATTAACCATGGATATTCACATGAGAAATTCGCCAGATTTTTGCAGAGTGAGGTGTGTGCTCTGCGCGTCTCAGAGGAGCAGCTCTTTCGACAGTCCGAGGTCGAAAATCTGAAATGGGTATGGGACAGCAATTTTTTGCTGCATAAAGGCCACATATACCCAGTAGTTGGTGATTATAGGGGATGATACTATTGATGTATAATTATTGGTGTATATTGATGTATATTGATGTTACTATTGATGTATATTGATGTATATTGATGTATATTGATGTATATTGATGTTACTATTGATGTTACTATTGATGTATATTGATGTATATTGGGGATTATCACTATGCATGGTGGGAAATCTTGTTAACCAAGCAGTATTTTATTGAATGACATTTCGGGCTTGCCGATGAGGTTTGTGCCAACATGATCAAGCTTCCAGTTTTGCAGAATGCATGAGAGGTTCCAGGAGATGTTTTTTTTAATTGTTGTGATGCTTTGCTCTATGGATAAATTTCCCATGGGATATTCTTGATCTAAAAAAAATCCAATTCTAACATAAACTCAAACAACTGATGCAAATGTCGACGCGACGTTCAGAGAATGAGTTTGAGTGCCAAGGAGCCGCAGGGCGTTTGAGCCATTCTCAACAGAGCTATGTCTCAGTGCTTGAAGTTCATTCATTTGGCTGGTACCCTCTGGTAATTTAACGTAGCTATGGAAAATCACCATTTTTGATGGGAAAACTCACTATAAATGGCCATTTTCAATAGCTATGTTAGTTTACCAGAGGGTAACAGCCAGTATCACTCCGGACTCTGATACCTGTCTTGCTCAGCCCGACGGGGCCCGTGGATTCGGTGTTTTAGCTTGGCCTTCTTTGGGTTAGCGGGGCCCGGGCCCGCCGGGCCTAAACAGGTTATAAACAGGTTTTTACACAGTAAACTTGAACAGGTGGACCATGTTTTACAAATTTGAAGGTTATAAACAGGTGATATTCATGGTCCAAAAAAAACATTTTCAGGTCTGACTACCGGTTTTTAGGAGCGACATGACATTTATCCCTGCCCTTTGACGCCCTGCCCTGCCAGGATGGCGAAGAGGAGATCATCGATCCTCCACTGATCCACACCGCTGACTCCAAAGGCGAGGGTCCCGCAGTGGCTGCTAAACGATACCCCTTGGTTGGTTGATGAGTTGGGGGATCATATATACTACCCTGAAAATATTGGGGGATTATAATAATCTACCGTTCATAGGGGATTATAATAATTAGTAGTTATTGGGGATTATAAATTATAATAATCTAAGAACGGGGAATCCCTAGAAAAACTATAAGCATTTCGCTTCGTACTTTGCCATGCCAGGTGTCTTGCGTGTTTGGACAGTCTCAGCAATGCACTTTGGCGATCGAGAGGATTTTTCTGACTGGACGAAAGGGCTGAAAGGGAACATGTAGAAAAGCCAAACACCTTGTGCAGGTGGACCAGCGTATCGCTATGTCGCTATGTCAGTCATGTATATTCATGTACATTATGTATCATTATGTTATACAATATATGTCTAGAGCGCTGTTTGCTTTTGAACATGCTCCTTTCTTCCCCAATGCTTGGCGCCCAGCATATGAGTACTAGTAGAGTTTTACAATTTCATTAGCTGCTTCTTTTTCTCGATGCATGCAACGTTTGAAGCAGTTACATGACGTGCGACATTACCTTATTCTCAATCCATTCACAAATCTTTGGGAGCTTGACATCTTCTGATAGAAAAAACACACTCCACATAGCATCAGATTTCCACTTGGAGGTCTGCTACCGCTGACAGTGGCTGAGGTGTAAGAAACGCGGGGTCCATGCCCTGGATGTGAAGGATCTTTTCGAACAACAGCGGAGTGGCAAAATGACCAGCCCAACGCGTGGCAAAACCGTGCCATGGCAACACTGCAGTTCGGTGCTGGTTGGAAGCCGACTAAACCAATTTTGGGGCACAATTTTGTGGCACCAAATCACTTATGCAATAATGGTCTAATGGTCATTAAGATGAGGGTTTTTGCCATGTTTTTGCGACACGTTTTTCAGACAAGTCAGACCGGAAAACGTCACATCCGTCACCTTGACAGGGAAGTACATTGAAGTTCTGGGCCGAATTACAACTAGCCAATGCCGCATGATTTTTAGCTTTTATATGGTGGTTTACAAAGTCATGGGGGTACCCCTTTATCGCTGGATGGTTGATTGTTATGGAAAATCCTATCAATGGATGATTCAATGGATGATAACTGGGGGTACCCCTATTATTGTTGGTCATTCCAAAATTATCCAAGCCAAGGTTCGTGGTCAGAGGAGATGCTGCTTGTCGAAGGGTGGTTGGAACGGGGCCCTCAAGACATTTGCTGTCTTGTTCGAAGCACTCGGTATCTTTGTGAAATTTCTGAAAGTCGAAAGTTTCTGTATTGGCCATATTGCCCACCTCTACCAGACTCAGTGAGTTCCAATATGAATTTCTCGTATTTTTGTTCCTGGTATTTCTACAGTGGAAATCTACACATCGCCGTCTCCGCAGGACCGCGGCAACGCGTGGAACCAGTCCAGGGTGCCTCGGAAGTTTCCAACAAGTTATGGGGGTACCCCTAGGCCCTAGTTATCATCCATTGATTCATAGGATTTTCCAGGACAAATCAACCATGCAGCTATTGGGGGTACCACCATTTATGGACAAATTCTTGGATGTGGCTTAGAATTTAGAATGATTCTCCAAATTCACCGCACTGCAGTCACTGTTGGGTTTCAATCTCTGGGTGCTCAGTTTTCTGCAACTAAGGACTTCCTCCCCTCGCTTGGGGAAAGCGCTGTCACCGCAGAATTCGTTTGGGATACCCAGGGAGAAGTTGTCAGAAGTTGTCGCCCACGGTCAGCTCAAAACGTCCTGGATGCTTTTCTTCAAGAAAAAGCTTAAGTGGTGTATACAGATGGGGATTGTGCCTATTGCTGGAAGAAAACTGATACCGAACAACACAAATTTTGCTTCCTTGTCTTCAGTCAGACATAGCTTTACCAGACCTGAAATGGAAAATCACGCTTGCCTAGCTTTGCAGGACAGCCTATATATATATGCTATATGCATATCATGACTTTGAGAGTCCGCAGTCCACTATGTGTGGCTGGCTGTTTGCCATGCTGGACCTCGCGCCTAGGATTGGGGCAGCCTTCTTGACAGGCACATCACTGAGTCAACTAACACAGATTAACACAGTATGGTTTTAGCAAAAAAAAGGCTGACAGGCTTATGGTATAACTATGGTATAACTATATGGTATATGTCACTATAATTAACTATATATGGTTTATAAGTAGATGAATTCTAACTTCGTGTTTTCATGTGTTCCCTAGGATCCCCAGCGATCAAAAGTCGGCGAGTCGGAATGGGCGACTGTGTTGCTCGCGATGAATTGCACTAAGATCGTTGGCGATCTTTGGCGACTCTAGGGATCAAAACTTGTCATTCACAAATGGTGGTTTCCTAAAGTAGGGGTACCCCGGGTACCCCAATAGCTGCATGCTTGATTTCATGGAACATCCTATAATTCAATGGATGATAATTGGGGGTACCCACATAACTTGTTGGAAACCTAGAAATATTCAGAAGGGTTTCAGCCCACCACTCTACAGATTTCACAGTCAATCCCGTGGTCGTCAATTCGCTGGCAAGGTTTAGACTTGGAGTCAGAGAACGACATCGCCAGATCGCTAGATCATCAAGATCCAACTCGCTCCTCTGCAGACATCAGAAAATCAATGAAAATCAGAAGGTCTTTGATTTTGTTTTTCCAGGTGTTGGATTTGATTTCTTGATGTTTTTTTTTTTTCCGGTTTGTGGTTGGAGGAGATTTTGCATTGCTGGAACTGCTGGCACAAATGACGTTTTTTTGGGACGGTGATGATGCCCAAGGGATGTGAAAGGTGGACGACATGAAATCACTGGGCAAAATGTGTTGACTTCCAGCTTGAGTCTTTCCAATTGATTTGACTGATACCAGCTGCAACATTGTTATGTTAGTATCATATTGTTTGGTAATATGAAACAACATCATGTGGTTAAAACAAAACATATTAGTGATTGGTGGTTTGGAACATTTTTTTTCCATATATTGGGAATAATCATCCCAACTGACTTTCATATTTTTCAGAGGGGTTGAAACCACCAACCAGATTAGTATCTTACTGAAAACCTCAACTTCTCGACTTCTCAATACATGACCCACCTGCACCGGCACTAGCGACAGCGGCGAGGCAGTCAGGCTGTATCCGTGGCCCAGAGTGACACAGAGGCCCGTAGTGCCAGGGCTGTGAAACGATACCCTGACCAAAAACACCAACGGTTGGCCCGAAAGCGAGTAGGTGTTTTTGGGTACTCAGATGTGTTATGTAGTTGTATGATTTGCAGACGCCAAAGACTTACATGAATATGTTCATGAGAATGTTATTTGTCATGTGAATATGTTCATTACGTGTAGATCTCAAGATAAAATGTGAAGATGTCAGGCTTTTAGTTGCAAGAGACAGACAAGGCATGCTGTATAGAAGATGTGAAAAATACAAGCATACAGAGAAGCTGATAGGCTCTCAAACACAGAAACACGCAGAGACACATGTTTGCACAAATATACGCACAGACACACACACACAGAAACACACACACAAACACAAACCCACACACACACACAGAAGCTTTCACACAGAGAAGCTTTCACACAGAGAAGCTTTTACACACAAGCTTTTACACACAGAAGCTTTCACGCAGAAGTTTTTGCACACAGGCGCTTTTACGCACAGAAGCTTTTACACAGAAGTTTTTTTTCCGAAACACTAAGACGCTTTTACACACAGACGCTTTTACACACAGAAGCTTTTACACACAGACGCTTTTACACACAGAAGTTTTGACACACAGACGGTTTTACACGCAGAAGCTTTTGCGCACAGACGCTTTTACACACAAAAGTTCTTTTGCACAGAAGCTTTTGCACACAAAAGTTTGAACACACAGAAGCTTTTACACAGAAGCTTTTACGCACAGACACTTTTACACACAGAGGCTTTTACGCACAGAAGCTTTTACGCACAGAAGCTTTTACACACAGATGCTTTTACACACAGAAGCTTTTACGCAGACGCTTTTACACACAGACGCTGTTACACACAGAAGCTTTTACACAGAACCTTTTGCGCATACAAGCTTTTACACACAGGCGCTTTTACGCACAGATGCTTTTCCACACAGAAGCTTTTACACACAGATGCTTTTACGCACAGAAGCTTTTACCCTCGGACGCTTTACGCACACAGATGCTTTTACACACAGATGCTTTTACGCACAGAAGCTTTTACACTCAGACGCTTTACACACACAGATGCTTTTACACACAGAAGCTTCAACACACATGACCTTTTACACACAGATACTTTTGCACACAGACGCTTTTAAGCACAGACGCTTTTACATATAGACGCTTTTACGCACAGAAGCTTTTTCGCAGAGACACTTTTACACACAGACGCTTTTACACACAGACTCTTTTACACACAGAAGCTTTTACACACGGAAGCTTTTACACACAGACACTTTTACCCACAGACAATTTTACACACAGACGCTTTTACACACAGACGCTTTTACACACAGAGGCTTTTACACACAGAAGCTCTTTACACACAGACGCTTTTACACAGACGCTTCAAGATCTTAATTTTTCGTCAGTTTTTGACACTTGGACCTCTTTTCGTGCGAAACGGTTGCTGCCGGACCAACCAAAGTCGCAAAAAGCCATCAGTTTTTGACACTCGAACCTCATTTCCTGCGGAAGGGTGGCCATATCGTGGCACCTGGCCTGCACTGCCTGCGGCCTTGAAGGAGAAACGAACAAGAAGGAGAGAGACCGTGACAGAGGGCAAGAGAGACAGAGACAGAGACAGAGAGAGAGAGAGGTGTGAAGATGTGTGAAGATGTGAAGATGTGAAGATAAGAAGAAGATTTGAAGATGTGAAGATGTGAAGATAAGAAGAAGATGTGAAGATGAGAAAATGAGAAGATAAAGATGTGAAGATGTGAAAATGAAGATGTGAAGATGTGAAGATGTGAAGATAAGAAGAAGATGTGAAGATGTGAAGATGTGAAGATGTGAAGATAAGAAGAAGATGTGAAGATGTGAAGATGTGAAGATGTGAAGGTGTGAAGGTGTGAAGATAAGAAGACGATGTGAAGATGTGAAGATGTGAAGATAAGAAGAAGATGTGAAGATGTGAAGATGTGAAGATGTGAAGATGAGAAAATGAGAAGATAAAGATGTGAAGATGTGAAGAAGAGAAGATGTGAAGATGTGAAGATGTGAAGATGTGAAGATGTGAAGATGTGAAGATAAGAAGAAGATGTGAAGATGTGAAGATGAGAAGATGTGAAGATAAGAAGAAGATGTGAAGATGTGAAGATGTGAAGATGGGAAGATGTGAAAATGAGAAGATGAAGATGTGAAGATGTGAAGATGTGAAGATGTGAAGATGTGAAGAAGAGAAGATGTGAAGAAGATGTGAAGATGTGAAGATGTGAAAATGTGAAGATGTGAAGATAAGAAAAAGATGTGAAGGTGTGAAGATGCGAAGATGTGAAGATAAGAAGAAGATGTGAAGATGTGAAGATGTGAAAATGTGAAGATGTGAAGATGTGAAAATGAGAAGATGAAGATGTGAAGATGTGAAGATGTGAAGATGTGAAAACGAGAAGATGAAGATGTGAAGATGTGAAGATGTGAAAATGAAGATGTGAAGATGTGAAGATGTGAAGATGTGAAGATGTGAAGCTGAGAAGATGAGAAAATGAGAAGATGAAGATGTGAAGATGTGAAGATGTGAAGATGTGAAGATGTGAAAATGAGAAGCTGAAGATGTGAAGATGTGAAGATGTGAAAACGAGAAGATGAAGATGTGAAGATGTGAAGATGTGAAAATGAAGATGTGAAGATGTGAAGATGTGAAGATGTGAAGATGAGAAAATGAGAAGATAAAGATGTGAAGATGTGAAGAAGAGAAGATGTGAAGATGTGAAGATAAGAAGAAGATGTGAATATGTGAAGATGTGAAAATGTGAAGATAAGAAGAAGATGTGAAGATGTGAAGATAAGAAGAAGATGTGAAGATGTGAAGATGTGAAGGTGTGAAGGTGTGAAGATAAGAAGACGATGTGAAGATGTGAAGATGTGAAGATGTGAAGATGTGAAGATGTGAAGATGTGAAGATGTGAAGATAAGAAGAAGATGTGAAGATGTGAAGATGTGAAGAAAAGAAGATGTGAAGATAAGAAGATGTGAAGATGTGAGGATAAGAAGAAGATGTGAAGATAAGAAGAGGATGTGAAGATGTGAAGATGTGAAGGTGTGAAGATGAAGATGTGAAGATGTGAAGATGTGAAGATGTGAAGATGTGAAGAAGAGAAGATGTGAAGATGTGAAGATAAGAAGAAGATGTGAAGATGTGAAGATGTGAAAATGTGAAGATAAGAAGAAGATGTGAAGATGTGAAGATGTGAAGATGTGAAGATGTCAAGATAAGAAGAAGATGTGAAGATGTGAAGATGAGAAGATGTGAAGATGTGATGATGTGAGTATGTGAAGGTAAGAAGATGTGAAGATGTGAAGGTGTGAGTTTGTGAAGATGTGAAGATGTGAGTATGTGAAAATGTAAGGATGTGAAGGTGAACATGTGAAACTGTATAGCAGACCTCCACTTTTAGAAGAACCCTTCGCTCAGACGCTCTCGGGAAAATATACAACATATACAACTATACAATATTTTCATAGATAGCAAAGACCAAGTGTACATCATATAATCATATACAATATGTTCATGACATGTGATATGATCTGGACATGACATTTTGGATGTTTTTGGGACTCTTTCCTTCAACGTAGTGCCGTCGGCCCTCAGGTTCAGCTACTCTTCGAGGAAGAGGGTCATGATGATGCCGGCATCATCAGCATGTGCGCCACAGGGTCCAGTGGCCAATGCAACCGAAAGATGTCACCATTGTTTGTATTTACCCTGCAGCAAGAGTGGACCTGATAGATTGGTACCGTAGTACTGTAGTGTGGTACTATCAGGTCTTGTTTCTGTTGACCGCAGCTTGGCACGGTCCTGAAGGTACCTAACAGAGGAACCAAATGCTGTGATGACCACAGGGCTCGACCGACGTGTCAGGACGTGGAGTTCGCAACTGGATCGTACGGGCGCCTGGTTGACGATGAATATTGCGACCGCAGAAAAAACCATGAGAAAAAACCAGATTCGGGGGTTCCATAAATGGGAATACCCCAAGATCGTTGGTTTATAATGGAAAATCCTTGGGGGTACTTTCCATTTCAGGAAACGTCTAGATGATGAAGATTTGGATGCTCCAGTCATAAGTCGTCGCTTATGTTGGCCAATCGTGACATATGCCTCGCTGCACCTGTTGGATCTACCAGAAGCGACGCACACAGGATTCCTCAACTCGTTTTTATATTCAAGTCTGAAACAAACAAACAAATATTATACATATCAACATGTAATTACTGTATATCTACTTATTTCACGGTGGGTCACAGCATTTCCAAAATATTTCACAGCGGTATAGTTTTAGAGCCAAGTTTGGTTCGCTTCACAAAAACCACTGGGTTCAGAGGTGGTCCTTCCCCCTGAAGGCCTTGGCACGCTGATGCAAAGCCTCCCGGCGAAACTGGGGAAGCTTACCAGCCAGCACTCGCAAAGGGTGGTTGAACTGTTGAATTTATGAGTTGCTGCACTCCCTGAACCAAAAAGGTTTGGGATCCCCACCATTTCAAACTGACAGAAGACCTGAACGGTGGACTCTCAATTTGAAAGCTTAAAAAGAAGGCTATGGAAAATCCACACGATAAAGACATGGGCAGCAGGGTCCGTGGTTTTTGGAGGTTTTTGCATGGACCAGTTTCATCCAGTTTCCATCGCAGCTTTCCTGGGTCGGAAAGGCCAAGACCGACACTTTAAGTTTCCCTTCGACCCACAAGCAGCGCAAGAGGCCTGGGGGATGTCGTCTGGATGGATGTCGGACCCAGAAGTGTTCCAACTGGTCCAGGTGCGGCTCCAGGCCGCAGCTGAGCTACTGGAATCTTGGCCAATGGCGTTTTGGAGATTGGGGAAATGCTGTAGGAAATGCTGTTGTTTTTTTTTTATGATGAAAAACAATGGGTGGAAAATGCGGTGAAAATCTCCAAAACAAATAGCAAAACCAACAAAGAAAGCGAGGACAAGAAGCGGAATGGACTGGAGTTCTTTTGAAGTCTGGGTGAGTGGATGCCACAGGGTAGCTTGGACAAAGGTTGATCTCTTGAAAAAGACCGCAACATCTGAGGAATACTTGGCGCCTGAGAATCGACTTCGGCTTCCGCCTATTCCTGGTGCATCGTCAAGGACGCTGGGGAGCGATAGAACGCAATCATCAGACACTCGTTGAAGTGGCGGAACCAACGTAACTAGGGAAGAAACGCAACGAAAATTGCTGTGTGCGAAGAACATGTTGCAACACATATTTTGGGAAGCATTAACGCATTCGCATATTTACTACAGACAGATGCAAGTCTTCAAAATGATGGTTGCCGCAAATTCAAACAGAAATACACTTCACAGTGAGTCGCACAACATGACAGCCGCAACGATGTTCGATCAGTTTGATCTGGATGTTTTTTCTTAAATGGGTATGGATCAATACCTTTTTTGATACCATTTTTAGGGGAATGAACATCCATAAATCCCAGCTATTTTGATGTGAACTACAGGGGTACAAGGTTTTGACACACTGCCAAATTTGTGTTGTGATAGGAGTGCACATGACATGCTCTTGTCCCTCAGCAGTGGAAAGACCAAGCCGACGAAGAAGAAGGACCGGATGGGGTGTCCTGCCCAACAAATCAGTTAGGGCCGGCGAGTGCAGCTGAAAAAGTGGAAAACCATGGAAAGCCAGTCCTTCCCGCCTCTATGTATCTATACATATATATATATATAGATATTATATATATATATATATGTACACATTTGCCTGTCTGTCTGATTTAAAAATACTGACATGCATTTACAGTGTATAGACGTGCATAGACGTTGTCATTCCAGTTGTTGACTCCTCATCTTGACTTCGCTGGGATCTCGAGTGCAGGATGCAGAAAAAGCCTGGCGGGTCACTGCTGAGCAGGTGGGACCGTTGGTTCGGACCATCGGACCATCGCCTGGCGATTGGATATGGTCATTGTGTCAGTCGTCGCCATCATTGATCAATCCCATGGGCAAGTTGTGTTTTGAAGTGGTGAGCTTGCAGGTGATGCAAGCACCAGAAGATGTCGAGGAGGATGACTTCCGCATGCTCTTCGAACAGATGGAACGTCTGAAGCTCAAATCGACAACAGACGCGCGCAGAGACACATAGGCGTTTACCATAGACGTAGCTTGAGGTGGCAGCATGGCAGGCTATCCCCTGGAGTCGAAGGTGCTCTGGCTGTGGATGGAACGTTGGCTAGAGACATGTGAAAAACATGTTCCAGATGTTGGCTTGAGTCTGCAGCTGATATCAGCTGATCTGTCTTGAGGATGCCTTGGTTCTTCAAGTCAAGAGTGCACACGGAAGAACTTTATCCTGAAGCTAAACCCACATCCCTAAACATCCCCATACCAAACCGTGATCTCTAGAATTCTTGAAGAATTTGATTCATTTTGTCAGACTTTACTTTATCTAACAACATTTAATCAATGGGATTTCCCTTACTTAGGCCTTACATAGGACTTATATATGATAGGTGCCTCCAATTTGGGTTCCTGGAATGGCCATCGGCGAGAGGAGCGACTGGTGAAGATTTCCAAGGCGCTTCAGGCGAAGCAGATGGTGCACCGTGCCAACGCCCTGTCCAAGGAGCGCTTCAATGCGTTGAACGCGTTGAATTTTGGATAGATGACTTGGATCCGGAGCTGATGATGAGCGGATGAGATATATTGAATTGAGATATTGGATGATTGGATAATATGGGGATGGGCATCTTTTCAAATCTTTTTTTTGGTTTTTGAACTGAAGCCCCACAGCCTTGAAGGTAAGTGACATCGGGCATCCCGCCTTTTGGAGTTTCCAGACTTCCTGCGCTCGACAGGAAGAAGCCTTTGCAGCCGAGCGTTTGGCACATGCTATGGTGGAATACTCGGTCACATTTGTAGATTTGCACATCGACAGCACAAGTGTTACAGTGTAGGGATAAAATGGGATAAATTCACATTCTTCAAGGATATCATGATATCTACCCTCTGGTAGTTTAACATAGCTATGGAAAATCACCACTTTTAATAGGTAAATCCACTATAAATGGTCCATTTTCAATAGTTATGTTAGTTTACCAGAGGGTAAGAGGTAGTATCCAATATCTATGAACGGGATGAATTTGGCCTCCAAAATTCTGTCGGTGAGTCCGGCATCTTCTGCCCTGAGGCGGCCTTGGGGGGTGACGACTATGGCACATACGCAGCCATGGCCAGCTCATTGAAAGTGAGGCGACCGGGGTGGGGGGCCCGGCTCAACGAACGCCCCAGGGATCCCGGGAATTATTCACAACTTTCGGATGCAACTTTTTCAACAGTTCATGAAAGGTAGCTCCTGCGGATCCTGTGGGGCCTTGAGTTTTACTATGTTTTACTTGACCGAGTAAAGGGCCTCGGACCTCTTTCTGGCTGTGAACATTCACGACATTGCCATTTGTACACCCCGCTTGCTCTTCACGCTGGGCATCCATCTTAGAGGCAGGCATATGCCATTTGAAGATGTGGAGGATCTAGTCAGAATAATTTGAGTGAGTTGATGGCACAGAGCAAAGCTGTGGAACTAGACTACTAGGCACATGTTGATGATTGAACAATTGGAACATTTTTGATGATTGGAAGGTGCGTGTGTTGTGCTGTGCCAGGTAATGGCCGAAGGTCGAGCCGGTTGACCGGCTCTCCAGCAACTCCACAGGTGTTGTTTCACGCCAAGCATTTTTTTTGTTTCACGCCAACCAAACCTATGGAACTCTCAGAAATGTTCAGCTGTCTGCAGGGCCATGAGACATCCACAGGGGAGGATAGGGGGCATGTCCAGTTACAGTACCTTTTATCAGGGCTACTGACCCCTGTGGATCCA